AAAGAGCTGCTCTCCAGCAGGCTTGACAGCCCAAGGAGCCCTCCTCTCCTTCAACTGTGGCCATATGACCTATGTCCAACTCCATGATGGTCATGTGGGTCCGGTGCACATGTGTGTGTGTGTGTGTGTGTGTGTGTGTGTGTGTGTGTGTGTGTCGGTGTCTCTGTGTCTCTGTGTACTGTGTGAATTCTGAGATCTAACATCAAAGGGGCAGATAAAGTCTTGATTTTTAATTTGACCTTTTTTTTTTCCTTTTTTGACTCGGAGCCTCATCACCATTCTGATCTCCAGACTTCTGTCTCTTCTCATGGACCAAACCCATATTTAGCAATGGGGCTGTGGCCAGCCCCTCTTAGATGCAAGCCCTGCCTCATTCTCAGTCTTTCAACACTTTAAAGATATTGATCCACAGTCTTCTAGGCTTGAAGGCTTCTGACAAGCTGCTCACAGCCCTTTGAATCATTGATCTCCTGTATGCAGTGTGTTATTTTTCCCTAGCATCTTTGGAGATCTGTTTTGTTTTTGTTTTGGCTTTAACTTTTGATTTTTAGTAATTTGATTACGATGTACCAGTTGTGGTTTCCTTTGGCTTTAACCTGTTTGGGATTCAGTGAGTTTTTGTTTTTATTTTATTTTAAAGAAAACAAAACAGAACAGAACAGAAGACCAGAGCAAAACAATGCAAGCAACACAGGATTTCAAAACAAGACAACATGAAATCAGCGGTGGCTAGCACAATGTCTCCTGTTATCCCCAAAATAATTGTCTGTATCTTTACACACAGTGAATTCAAACAAAACAAAACACTATAAAACTGATCAAAACAAAAGAATGAAAGCATTACTGCTCTTCAAAACCAGACAATAGGAAAATCAACAGTGGCTGCCATAATGTCTCTTGTTCTCTTCAAAATAGCTGTCTGTAACTTCACCCGTATTGAAATCAAATAATAGAAACCAGACTAAAACCAACAAAGACAAAGAATAAAAGCATTATTGGACTTCAAAGCAAGACAACAGAAAATCAGCACTGGCTACCATAATGTCTCATTTTCTTAAAAGTAGCTATTCATGCCATCATACATAATAAAATCAATTCTTATAAATTCTTTAGAAGTTCTAGGCTTGTACATCTATCCTTTCTGTATTAGAAAACAAAACAAAACAAAAAATACAAGAAAAGCAACAAACAAAAAGAGACAAATAGCAATAACCAAGAGCTGAAAAAATAACAATATAGGCTTTCAAACAAGGTGGTACAAACATAGACAAGATTGTTATTTTGCATAGATATTTCAAAAGAGTTACTCAGATTACCAGATATAAACATGTAAAATTGATCTAATCCTATGAATGTTTTGTTTCGATAGAATTAGTAGTACAGTTAGCTACCTTAAGTGTATTTATACAAATTTATATGTTTTGTTTTCCCTTCCTTCTTTTCTCCCTTTCCTTAACTGTGTTATTTTTGCCCCTTTAAGCAGTTTCTTACCTTTTCACAATATTTATTGAAGATTTTGTATCTTATTTAGTCTTCCCGTTTCTTATATTAGAGAGACAATACAGTGTTTATACATGTGAGTTTGACTGATTTCATGTATGGGTATGGTGTCAAGTCACATTGACTGAGTTGTTTTAACTACAAATCCATGTCATTATCCAATTGTGGAAGTTTTCATACCTAATCTGGTTTTTAGCGCTTCCTGGAATTCCAATGCTATGTATTTTGAGCCTTTTGGTATTTTTCTATAGGTTCCCAAAGCTCTACTTTAATGCTATTTTTCCCTCCCTAGACTCCAGATTGGATAATTTTTACTGATTTATCTTACAGTTCAGAGATTCTCTTTTGTTGTTGTTGTCTTTTTTATTCTGCCCTTGATTTTATCCATTTTTTCCCCATTTCATGAATTTTTCAGTGTGGCAGTTTCCAATTTGATTCTTCTATGGTTTCTGTTTCTCTACAGAGCATTTGTTTCTTTACATTTATTGAAAGGTTTTTACCTCTGTCCTATGGATCATAGTTATGATTGTTGCTTTAAAACTGCTGCCTGAGAATGATAACACCTGGACCATTTTGGGGTGACACCTGTGGCTTGCCTGTTCCTTCAGGAATCGGTCACACTTTTCCAGTTCTATGTATGCTTGAGCAGTTTTAGGGCTCTATCTTGGCTATGGTGACTATGATACAGTCTAGGCTATTGTTTTAAGTTTCTGGAAAAACTTTTTTGTTGCTGTTGTTTTATTTATAAGACAGTCATTATGTTCAGACAGAAAGTTGAACATAATCTCATTATGTTCAAACAGAAAGCTGTGCTTTCTGTGGGTGGGTCTCGCCTATGTTCAGCCTTTATTGCCTTGGTAAGATACTCGAGCATGTCCCAGGCTTATGCCGCTCTGGGTTAACTGTCAGTAGGACTGTTATACTAGAGAGACAATACGGTGACTCAATAAGTTTGAGTCTGATTCATATGCACACAACTAAATTACAGATTCCCCTTCACTACCTCTGTCCTCTCCACATTTGCTGGCCACCTGGGCTCACTTTCCCTAGCCTTTTAGTTCAGAACGTTGAGATCATTTTAGTTTTTAGGAATCTTCAAAGGTTTCCTTTGTGCTCCCCAAGCTCTGTGCTTGGGGATTCCCCCAGGGCAAAGCTGTAAGAAAAGAAGAAAGAACAATTGGGAAATTCATTCCCTCACAGATGACCTCTTTATGTGTTGCCTAATCTGTCTGCTTTGGCATAATTTTTGGAGTCCTAGAAGATCTGCTTTATGTATTTTATCCAGAGTTTTAATCAACTGGAGAGCTATACCATGGTGGGCTTGCTCCTGCCAGAAATGGGTCTAAATTCGTGTAGAGAGTGCATTGTCAAGGATCTTGTAGAGAAAAAGAAAGAAAAAGCAGAATGGTGTGTTGGTAAGGAGGAGAAGTGGAGAGAAGGATGTGTATAAGGAAGAGGCTTGAAGGCCAAGAAAAGAGACTAAATAGTAAAAATGATCTATGACCACTGGAGATTTGTGACGCTGGAGAGGAATCTGAGAATTAGGTTGAAGCAGGCGGACTGTGGAGGGAAGCTGTAACTTGGAGAAGGGATCAGCAGGAATTTGTCAGATGTCTTTAATTTTTTTTCTTCATGATTTTGCCTTGTGCATGGCTCCAGTTCCACAGCTGGGAAGTAACTCACAGAATAACTCTGAGTAATCAGATAAAGAGATACTTGTGGGCTCAAATATGGAGAGGAGAGAGCTGTAGATGATGACTCCATAACTGTGTTTGTAAATCCACACAAGTCTCTGTGCATGGATTATACTGCTAATTCGGGAAGTAAGAGGTACCATTCAGGACATAATGACTGTGGTGTTAAGGACAGCAGAAATATTTCCTTCTCTGAGACACAAGAAAAGACACAAACATAAAGATGGTCCCCAGAACTTTTAGAGCAAAGAGAAAGAAAGCCGAGTTAACATCCTGCTGACATTACCTAGTAAGAGTAAAAGGCGCTGGATCAGGATCTAGGATGCATGAAGATATCTTTAGCTAATCAAAACCGCATGGAATTTAAAGGGGCTTCAACCCAGGTGCAGTGCTGCTATCCTTCCCCTCTAGCAGAGACAAGGAGTCCTAACATCCCTTAAACCTGCGCTGTCCTCATACGGGCTGAACATGAGAGCCCAGCTTGTCAGGGAAAAGCTGAGTCTAAACTTGGGTAACATGTGCAATGCATATTCTCTCCATTTCTTGAGTTGAAAATGACTTTGGAAAAAAAAATCCTACAAATTATAATATGTGGACCACAGAAGAAAGAAGAAAAGTTAGCAATGTTCTGGGAAGGGTGCCCAGCTCTTTTATGATTCTGAGCAGTAAAGTTGCAACATGCCACATGTAAACTTTTTGGCAGAACACAGGCTGAAGCAATGCTCAGTCAAGGCCTCTCTCAGCCGTTTCATTTATTGCCAGCACCACCATTATTAATGAAGAGGGACAGAGCCTGTGGCAGGTTTGAGTTAGTTCTGATGTAATTGTCCATTATCTCTCTTGTAATCACTTTGTTGCTGTTCATATTCCTCCCTTTTATTTCCTGAAATCTGACTCCCAGCACTCCGGTCCTGGATGCACCAAAATGCCAAGTAACTTAACGATCAGATTTCCTCTGCCTTTCGTCTTCCGAGTATTAAACTATGGGCCTCTCCTACTTGCAGACAAAAATCATTTAGAGAGTTCACATTGATTCCACTTCTATTAACCATGGGACAATAGCAACATTTTCCTGTAGGCAAAGGTACGAATGACACATTCTTTCCATGTGTGGTTTGTGTGAGTTGAAGCGTTCTAAGATAATTTTCATTAAAACGAAGCAAGATCTACTTCCTGTGAGAACAAATGTTTTGTTTTTAAGTACATTTCTTTGGTAGAGTCCCCTGGTCAGGGGTCAGGATTGGAGGTGATCACTCCAGAGTTTCAAAGGAACATTGAGGACTAGGGAAGAATTCTTAATGGTTTAGAAATGGACACCTACACAAACTGCTTAGTTGATTACTTTAAAATTAATAACGTGTTGAATGATGATCTCTTCTTGCCTTTGGGGTAGATTTATTTTATGTTTCAATCACCCAGGCAATCTTGATTGTTTTGAAAGTAAATTCTAGTGTCAAATGGGAACAGCACAGTATTCTCATTCAAGAGTTTTTGTCTCATAAGTTAGAATACCATGGATGAATTTACAAACCCAAGTATGCAAGGATGCAAAAGCATTTTTAAAAAACTATCTCATCCAACAACCAGACATTGAAAAATGAGAAGTAACAGGCTGAAGGGTACACAGCTGGTTATGACATAGCCATAACTTAGAGAATTCATTCTCTGTGTGCTTCCTATTGTAACTTGAAGATTCACACTTCAGATCTGTGGGGAATCGTGGTTATTTCCCCATTGTTTCTAAGGCCACACTGCAGCTGAGCCATGAGACTATAGTAAAACATTAACTTAGGGCCTTGCAAGCTGCAAGAGCTGTACATACATCACTAAATCACTCAACCTCTTGTCATTTCCTCCTCTGTCCCAGTACAACATCAGAAGTCCCTTTTAAGGGACTCCAGCCCCACTAACCCCAATTAGCCTATACACATTTGTTAACTAGCCCTACTTAGAATGACTGTTATTTTAACACCAAGTGCACTGAACTCTGTTGAAGAAAACATTACTCAGTCTTCAAAGGACTCATGGCTATCTTCAGAATTGAGATGGATGGAGAATGGAACCCCTGTGATGACATTTGCATACCCACTCCTCACATTAGCAATCTCTGGGACTCACTCACTGCTATCTGGCAATGTGTCCATAAACTCTTAACTTTTCTACATTCCTTGACTGTTGGTAGATTCTTTCTACCATCTACGGCACTGGCCTCTCACAGACTGTACCTCTCCTGGCAAATTGCAGCTTTGCTTTTTCTGTTTCACTTGAAGAATTGCATGTGGAGAGGTGTTGAAAGAAGGAGCAAATTCATAGAGAGAAAAATCAGCCTAAAGGATGCTGCTGCTGACTTATTATAAGGTTTTTGTTCACTAGAAGAAAGCCTGTGGTCCTCACTCCTAAGGAGGTTATTGACACACTGCCTTACTTCTAAGAAGTTCTAACCTTATCAATATCTCCCCCAGTGGATTCTGGGGCTCACAGCACAAATTGTTATAGATGATCCCTGCTCTCATCTTTTCTCTGATGAACCAGCATACATAGCTAGTCATGTGACTATGATGGGCATGTTGCAGACTGAAAGTTCAGATTTTATTGGTGCCCTTTTATCTTGGTTATCATTAGAATTTCCCTTGAAAATCATCCTCAGGTAAATGCTTTATGAAAAATGCTGATGATGTCCAGATACATAAGAAAATGGGGATTTTTCAGTTAAGTTTTTAACAATCACCCCTCGTCTACATACGCATTTGTTCTCATCAACACGTGCCAATCTGAAGAAGACAAAACTGGATCAGAATGGTTTCCTATGTGTTATTTAAAAAGTCACATTGCTCAGCATTGTAAATCAGAATAGGCAAGGAGATATTTTTTGCCCTGTCAGGACTAGGGAAGTCAGACAGTCCATGTGACTCTAAAAATTCAGTCTCAGGCCTGGTGGGTAAGAAATTGAACTGACCTGTTCCATACCAGGTGCCACAGGGAAGCAAAGCTCCTGTTCCAGGCTGCAGGTAATGCTTTCTGGAATCCCCTGAAACTGTGCCTCGTGTCTTCCCCAATTGCTCTTCTTCTTTCTCTGTAGGAACTATTTGTCAGAGGCCAGCTGGCAATGATTCAGGGGAAGAAAGCAGCTCATTCATACATGGCAGCCAGCCTCCTTCCTGTCTTATGAGGAATGTCTTTCCTCGCAGGCATGCGTCTGTCAGTGAGTCCTCTTTTGTTGTTGCTGCTTCTCATTGACACATCATAATTGCACATGTTTGTGGGGATTCAATGTGATATTTCAATACATGCACCCATTGTATAATCATCAAACTAGGGTAATTAGCACACCCATAGCTTCACACATGCGTCATTCCTTTGTGGTGGCGATGTGCAGTCTATTCTTCTAGCTATTTGGCTTATAGTTAACTGGGTCACCCTATGTGCAGTTGCACACAGTAGAGGTTCTTCCTGCTTCACTGTACTCTAGCAACTGCTGATTGATCTTTTAACTTTCTCTCTCCAGCCTCTAGTAACCACCATTCTACTCTGCTTCTGTGACAGTCATTTCTTCCGAATTCACATGTGAGTGAAATCATTCAACAGTTGTCTTTTTAGGCCTGGCTTGTTTAATAAACTGTTGTTTCTAGAACGAAAGAGAGAAAGAAAGAAAGAAAGAAAGAAAGAAAGAAAGAAGAAAAGAAAGCACAAGTTAGACACATCCATTTATAAAAAGCACAGGAGGTTTAAAAACAGGAGACCCAAAGCCAAATCCCCATGGGAACAACCCCGAGCTTGCTGTAGAGCCTGGGGAAGTCACTGCTAATGCCCTTATAATTCCTGAAGTCGTTTAAGGTTTAAAATGCTGTAAGCATTACTCCGTCAGCTCTGTGCACTATAGCCCTGACAGCTTCTACCAACTGGCCCTGAACATCACTTACATGGGCTCCTCGTGCTTCGTCTTGTTGCTGAAGATGTGGTCCATGGACCATGATCAATTGGAGTTTGTAAAAAATGCAGATCTCAAGCCCTGTCCCAGACTTACTGAACCATGATTTCCAGTTTAACAAGCTGCCCAAGCAATCAGTAAGGACAGTCGAGCTTTGGAAGTGTTGCTCAATTGCATGCCCAGAAAGCCAGCTGGCTTTGCAAGCTACAAGAGCTGCACATACATCACTAAAGGTGTGAACGCTAGACATTTCATAACTTCTATTGCTTTGGGGGGAGGAGTATTATGTAAACAAAAATAAACACTAAAACTAAAAAATAAGTATTCTTTATTATATAAATATATACAAGAGACTAACATAATGTATAAGGTGTGCGATCCATTTTTGTACAATGATTCAGTGTCCTGAAAGGAAACTAAATAAGACCAGCTTTGCTGTCCGTTTCTTGTGTCTTCTTACTACAGATACATAGCCCAACCAACACACAACACTGGGGGAGCCACTGGTTAAACAGATCAATGTAACATCCACACTCTCTTCCTGCCTGCAATTACAGCCGTTCATTAAGAAATTCTTGTGATAACTGGAAAGTCGAGACTATCTCCTCTGCATCTTTGTGTCTTCCAAAGATCTAGATGCTACAGCAATGTAGAAAATATTCCATAAATGTTCCTCAAATTAAAATGACAATAGCAGAATGCTTTAAAATTCCCCAAATAATATTTTGCAAATTTCCAAGCTGTTTGAGAAAAAAAAAAATCCACCAGGAGGCTAAGAAGAATGTGGCTCGCTTTAAATGTATTCCTGTTTCTTCTTGCATTATCAAAGTCTGAGCAGTTTGTCAGGTTTTATTTTTAACACATAAATTTCCTAATGCAAAGCATCCCTGTTTCTCATTATACATAAATAATATTTGGTTAAATATTGCCTAAACTTATGTCTACCTGACAGGAGGGGAAAACTCAGCAGAAAATAAAACAAGATGTTTGGTTGGAACTTGTCCTACTTTTTTTTAATTTTCCATATTGGTTTCTGCCTTTGTGTCAAGGTGTTTATTTCTGAGAGCAGATTTCTAGACCACAACCTTTTGATGGACTGATGATGAGTCAGGCTCCCCACCCTGTCTTATCTTTAATATTTTCTTTGCAAGTTAAATACCAAGATAGAAAGATAATATGGCTCCAAAACAGACAGACTGGAAAACAATACCCGAGAGAAAAAAAATTTGACTGAAAAATAATAGCATGGGGAAAATAACAGAGCTGAAGGAAATCTTAAAGTCTCATCACGTTGAGGGAGAGAGTGGGGGAGAACAGAAGCTCTTTTCCCTTTATTACCAAGGAAGAATTGAATACCCAATATAGAAATGATGTGTACCTGAGGTCAGTTGTATTTTGGAGTTAAAATGGAGATGATTTTAAAGGGATGCCTTTAATTTGTGTAAGGTTCTCTAGTGAAAGCATTCTCTCTCTCTCTCTCTCTCTCTCTCTCTCTCTCTCTCTCTCTCTCCTCCCCACCCTCTTTCCCTCTCTCCCCGTGTTGTGGATGGAGCCTAGGGCCTTTTCCTATACTAGGCAAGTTTTCTGCCACCGAGCAATACCACTGGTCCTAAAATTTCATTTTTATAACCCAGTTATACAACAAAAACTTACAAGGTGGGTGATAATTACCTTCAATTTTCCACACTTTTTCTTTTATTTTCCTGTTTTAATGTTACTTCATTGTCTTTTCTGCAGCTACCCTTTGCTGATTTTCTGTGTACTAGGTCTATCAATTAATGAGAGGTAGCCTCCCGCTATGATGTGGCTGATTGCATCTCTCTCTTCAATTCTACCAGTTTTAGTTTTCAGGTACTTTGATGCTCCTGTGTATGAAACATACACATTTAGAGTTATGTTTTTGTAGTGAATTAACCTATCACTCTGTAATATCCCTTCTTTTCCCTATTAAATTTGGCTCTCGTCTACTTTCTCTGATTATTCACATAGCTACTCAATAATCTTTCTTTCTTTATTTTTTTTTGGCAGTACTGGGGATCAGACTCAAGACCTCAAGCTTGCCAGGCAGATACTTATGCCACTGAGCCAAATCCCCAGCCCTACTCAGTAATCTTTTGTTTAAAGTCTTCATGGCATAAATCTTTTCTCATCCTTTTACTTTCAAGCTGCCTATACATAATTATATTTCAAGTGAGTTTCTTGTAGAAGCTATATAGATGGGTCACAAGGTTTGTTTCTATCTTTTAATCTCACAATCTCGGTCTTTTAACTGGTGTTATGGTTTAGATCTTGGACGTCCCCCAAAGTCTCATGTGCTCAGAGGTCGGGTTACGGGGAGGTGATTGGATCACAGGGTGCTATGCTTATCCGCTGATGAGTTCAGCAGCGGAGTGTGTTGCTGGAGGTGGGCCTGGTGAGAAGTGATCACTTATCTCCCGCCCTTTGCTCTCTGCTTCCTGACTGCCACAACATGAGTAGCTTTCTCCTGCCAGATCTTTCCACTATGTTCTTTTTCCTTGGAGTCAGCTGATGAATTCCTCTAAAAACCATGAGCCAACATAAACATCTCCTTTAAGTTGTGGTTGTTTAGTATTTTTTCCTAAGGACAAGGAACTGATTAGGCCTACGGGTGTGTTTGACCATTTACCTGTGAGGTAGTCACTGATGTGCTTAGAGTTAAGTCTGCATTTTATTATGTGCTTCCTGCTTTCTTCTCCTGCTTCCTTTGCTTTGCTTTGTTTTTCTATTATTCCTCTATAATTTGTCATTTATATTTTTGTCTGTCTTTACATACTTTTTTTAGTGGTTACTCTAGAGAACATGAGAAACATAATAAAAATTTTAGTCAATTTTAGGATTAAAATTGATCACTTACAGTGGAAAATAAAAACATCAGTACACAGAATCTTTCCCCGTCCTATTAATGCTGTAGATGTCCTATTTACTGTATTCATAGATCTTCAAAATCCAATAAAGATGTTATACTTTTCGATTTTTTGGTACTAGGGAGTGAATTAAGGGGCTTCACTCTAAGCCACATTTCCAGCCCTTCTAAATATTTTATTTTTATTTTAATTTATTTTGAGACAGGATCTTGCTAAGTTGCTAAGTTGCCCAGGCTGGGATTGAATTTATGAGCCTTCTACCTCAGCATCCCAAATTACTAAGATTACAGAAATGAGCTGTCATGCCCTTTTAACTTTGGATTTCAATCATCCAGATTTTAAAGAACTGAAAAGAAGAGTCCACTACATTTACTCAGATGTCTGACATTTCTGTGACTCTTCTTTCATTCCTAATATTTCAAATTCCCTCCTGTATCATTCTATTTATTTATGTATTTCTTTCCAGAAGTAGAACAGGTGGGTCAGTTAAGAATTCTCTTAGATTTTCTTCTGTAAATACCTTTGTTTCTTCTTCATTCTTGATGATTGTTTTTGCTGACTGTAGATTTCTAGGTCGATAGTACTTTGGTTTCAGTACTTAAAATATACCGTGGCTCTTCCTTCCAAATTAATGTTTTTTTAAATGAAACATTTACAATCATATTTAAAGAAGCAAGCCACTCTGTCCTGCCCTCATGGTTTCTTATGAGAAAATCATAGTCAGTTGAAAATTTCTTGTTATAAGTAATGTGTCACTTTTTTCCTCCTTTGGTTTCTTTCTCTTGATTTTTTTCTTTAGTTTGTAGTAGTTTGGTTATGATGTTTCTGGACATGGATATCTTTGTGGGGCTTTTGTTTGTTTATTTCTATTTAGATCTTCCAAACTTTTCTAAACCTGTAAGTTTACATTTTTCACAAAACTCAGGAGATTTTCAGCCATTTTTTTCAATTTTCTTTTTTTCTACCACATTTCACTTTCTTCTCTCCTTTCTAACATTTGGGTGGTGTGAATATGAGACATTTTTGCATTGTCATACAGATACCTAAAGATTTATTCATTTTTTTAATGAGTTCTTTCTCTTTCAGTTGTTGAGATTGGATAATTTCTATAGATATTTCTCTAATTTACTAATTATTTTCTTTGCCTTTTTTCATTGTTTTGTTGAACTTGTTTTCATTTACTTACTCTATTTCTTAGCTCTAATTATTTTTGTTTTTTCCTTGTAATCCTTACAGTCTAAATTCTTAAGAAAAACTTTCTGTCTTTGCATTCATTTCAAGTTAATATACTCTTACTGTTTGACGCATGTTTGTAATTGGTGCTATGCAGTCTCTGTGGGACAAGCTTCATATCTGTATCATTTCAGGACATCAGATTTTTTCCCACTCAAATTGAGATTCTATAGTTCTTCATATGCTGAATTATTTTGCATCTTCTCTTGGACATTTTGAACTGTATTATGTATTTAAATCTATGGAGAACTTTGAGATTTTTGTTTTGATAAATGAATAATCTGTTTAAAGGACAGTTGCAAATTCTAAGCAGCCCCTCAGTAGTGCCATTAAAATCAGTCACATATTTGCTTCATCAGTTCTGAAAGTCCAGGAGATATAAGTTAGTGTCAAATCCATAGGTCTAAGAGCTCATTAATACTTTTATAGGCTCACTTTTGCAAACTTTTCCCTCTATATTTTCTGCAAAATACACGTGAGTTTCCTGAGACTCTTTCTTTCCATACTTCACAAGAAAGCCGGACTTCATTTGCATACCCCACACCCAGAGTGAGGGAGCAGGAGGACGGAGAAGAAAAACAGTACAGTTGCACACTACCTTCCAGGACCTCTCATTTGAGGGAGAGGTCCATTCTATACATCTCAGTTTTATATGTTTATAGGTCACTGGGACCCAGAAAGGAACCAAATAGCAGAAAAGGAAAAGAGGAATTAATATGACTTTCTATATATTAGGAAACTTTTGAGGATTTCTCCTGGAGCTATTCTGTCTGCACCAATGTCTACCTCTGATTTCAGGATGGCTGAGCTCATGGTCAAATGACAGCCACAAAACAAAGTCAGGTTCATGGGTGGTTTAGTAATATGAGAATTCTGGTCTTCCTCCCATTTCACTTACTTTTTACTTCTTATTTTTTTACTTTTTGCAGCTCTCAAACACCTACTGCATACATTCTGGGCTCACATTTAATTGTTTGAATGGGAAATACAGAATGGAATGGGGAATTCCATTTTAATGGGAATCAGAACCTCGGAAACTTTAAAACAAAAAACTCAAACCAAACAGGCCTTTAGCTTTCAGCTCCAGAGATTTTTTTAATTCAATTTGTGTGGGTTGGGAGAAGGACAAAAATGTGTGTGTGTGTGTGTGTGTGTGTGTGCATGTCTGTTTTTAAAATTGCTCTTATGATTGAAGGAGACACCAAATTGAGAACCTCTGTCCTAATCTTTGATACCCAGAGATAAATATTTTTTTCTAGAAATCTATTGTTAGATTTTCTTGCTGTCTTGTCATACATTTGCTGGATATATAAAGGGCTAACTTTATGGAAAATGGTCACATGCTTATATTCTGGAATGATTATTTTCGTTCTTGAATGCCTATTAGAATACCTATGAGTTATGTGTTCTGCAATAATTTGCTTGCCTTGTAAGCCAGTTTTGCCTGTAAAAAAATGGGGATGATAATGAACACCTATAAAAGTTCTACTGGAAACATTAAATGAGATAATGGATGAAATATATACCACATGGTACTTGGAATATAGTTAATATTCAATAAGCATAAACTGTTATTACCACTCACATTTTACAGGTGAGGAACATAAAACTCAGACATAGTAAGCAACTTGCCCAAAGCATCTTTCTAGGGCTTTTAAACTCACATCAACCAGACTCTGGAATGTAATGAGGCTGACTGTGACCGGATGAGCAGAAATACCTGAGAAAACCAGGCAAGACTGAAATACTTCAGAAACTGTCTTGTCTATATGAAAAAAGAGGTCTGTCCAAACTATCTCAACTGTTCACCGGTAACAAGATGTGTAGCTTCTTCCAGGAAGTCCAAGTTGTAATAACATTTGGACAGAAACACCAGCAGAGCACAATTGGTCTAGAATTTCTAGTGACTTCTTTTTATGTGTGCCTAGGCTTATATTTTTGCATGGTGAGAGAAGAGGAGATCCCAGGCTTGTCATTTCTCCTCCTTCGTCTTTGACCTTCATTATGCTATCTTCTTAAACAAGATGCTTATAGATTTAGGACCGTGTTCAGAAACGGCAACACGTTGCTAGACGACACAATCTATATACATGTATAGGATGCAGTATAACGAAGCATTTGTAATTTATGCACAGTGTGTTATTACCTAGTGAATTTTAAATTAACAAGGAACTTCTCCCAGGTTTTCTAATTAAAGACTTCAAGGAATATTTTAACTTATTTGCTTCCCAAAATGTACATTTCGTTTTAATTTCCCTTTCTATTTCTATTTCTTCCTTTCTTACCATTCTTAAAAAAGAAAAATATATTTTTTCTTCTAAGCAGAAGAGGACCTGGTGCTCTGTTCAAAGAAATCCTATCATTATAATGTGATTCCCATTTTGAGAATGAGGAGTGGTATCTGAGCCTTACATTTTATCTGTCAGTTTATTAATAGGAATAGCTCTTTGGAGATCATTATTCTACCATGTAACATTATCCATGTCAGAAGCACAACATCTAGAATAAATTTAATGTACCTTTTAAAACCACACTGTTGCAATATTCACAAGCTGTGACTCTCCCTCTCTCTCTCTCTCTCTCTCTCTCTCTCTCTCTCTCTCTCTCTCTCTCTCTCTCGGTTGTGTGTGTAGGTGGAGGGAAGTGGATAGCAGTAATAAAGTGAGAGGCCAGGGAGAACCGCGACGTGCACAGGGGAGGGGCGGGGACTCTGTGGATTCTCAGATGGTAAATACCAATATTTTCCGAAACTCAGATTTGACATTCAGAAAAAAATGTAACTTCTGTGACATCTTCATGGAACAATGACAAGTTCCTTACTTTGTGATTTCTACTTTTTTTCCCCTTCAAACCGCATCTTTCACCTTCTTAGTTGCCTGTCTCTTGTGCTCTCAATAGTGAAGATTTAGCTTTGGTAGACATGTGTTTCATATTATCAACTTCATCAGACCTCAGGACCCCGTTGGCTGTGTGGTCCAGTAAATACTCTCTCTCTGTCTCTGTTTCTGTCTCTGTCTCTGTCTCTCTCTCTCTCTCTCTCTGTCTCTCTCTCTCTCTCTCTCTCTCTGTGTGTGTATGTGTGTGTCTCTGTCTCTCTGTCTGTCTCTGTCTCTCTGTCTCTGTTTCTCTCTCTCTCTCTGTCTCTCTGTCTCTGTTTCTCTCTCTCTCTCTCTCTGTCTCTCTCTGTCTCTCTCTCTCTGTCTCTCTCTGTCTCTGTTCCTCTCTGTCTCTCTCTCTGTCTCTCTCTCTGTCTCTCTGTCTCCTTTCTCTCTCATGCCGGACCTAGAACACACAGAGATGACGTTACTCCTTGAATGAGGGATCTCAGAAGTGGTCTCTGATTGTAGTGTGCTAAATGTTTTTCGGAAAAGCTTTAGTGCTAAGGGTGCAGAAAGGGAATGGTTGGCTCTGAACTGCAACTACATGCATAGTGCACACAAAATATAGCTGGCTTTTGAAATGTAACACCTTTCCTAATGAAGACTCTTCCCACAGAGGTTGGGACAGGATGCAGAATTTGCCTGACCACTGGGTTGTTCCACAAAAAAAAACAATGTGCCAGGCTGGAGTTTGACTTTCATTTTCCCACAGTATGACAGGGCAAGAAGCAGCTCTGTTTGGTGGAGAGAAGAGACATAGGTCCCTGGTCTTTCCCAACCATGCCCATGGCAGATTTCCCACTCCATAGTAATTTTCCAGCCAGGTCTTTGTTTTTAGCAGATGATATACAGAAAGTTCAAATAAAGGCTGGGTTTAAGTACATCCTCTCTCGGGCCTGCTGTTTATCATGGCTCAGTGGGCTCCATCTCTTCTTTGAGTCCATTTCCTCATCTATAAAACCAAGAATGGCTCTCTAAGTTATGACAATTATGAGAGGTAGCATTTAAAAATAACTTTGAAAACAATATATATATATATATACTGATAATAACAATGGTAACAATAGTAAACTATAGTAACGGTAGACATTTATTGAACACTTACAATGTGCTAGAGCCTGTGTTGAAGTTTTCAAACTCCGTCTCTCTCTCACTCAGTCCTTGTCCCAAGCTGAAGGAAGGGTACCAAACATGATGTGAGTGAACAACTAAAGATTCAGCAAATAGTTTTTGGAGATCTCTATTATGCTGAGGGGGAAGACAGATTTGCAAAGTTTAGTGATTCATCCATTCTTTTTTCCTTCAATCATTTAAGGTCCAAATTCATGAATTTGATTTTCCAGGTCAATACTTGAAAGTCTCTGAAGGAAATGCACATATCTCTCCAGTTCACCAAGATCACTAATGAATTTCTGAATAAATGCAAATCAATGGTTCTCAACCAGGGGTCGTCTTGCTACCCAAGTAAATCTGGTAATGTCTAGAGACATTCAAGACTATCACAATCAGCTGGAGTTACTGGCATCCAAAGGTTAGAGACCAGAGGCAGTGTTCAATAGCCTCTCATGCACATGGCATCTCCCAACAACAGATATCAATATAAAAATGGTGCTGAGGCTGAGAAATTTTGATTTATATAAGTGAAAAAATAATTGGATGAGTTAATATATGTGCTGAGTTGTCACAAAATATGACATATCATGCCAGTTCTATCCAATCTATCCTGATTGTAGCTTTCATTATCATCCCTCATGACCATAATTCTTTTTTGTATTTGTGGAATCTTCTTTCAGCAGACACTAGATAATTATGCTTCAATAATTGAATATAAAACCAGGTAAAAATTCAGACCATCTGTATTAATCAGTTTTACATTACTACAACAAAATACCAGAGACAAGTAACTTATAAAGAAAAGAGTTTGTCTAGTTTACAGTTTTGGAAGTTAAAAAGTAAGGGCCCAGATCAATCAGGTTCTTACCCCAGGGTAGCAAGAAGTTTACATGTTATGGTGGAACACATGTAAAAGCAACAGTGGTTACAACTTAGAGAGAAGACTGGGGACTCCACAATCCCCTTCAAGAACACACCCCAGTGACCTAAGAACATCCAAAAAGACCTTATTTCCTAAAATTTCTACCCCCCCTCCAATAACTCCACTCTGGAGACCAGGCCTTTAACTCATTCAGGAGTGTTTAGCAATCAAAGTATAGCACCAGCTTTTCTCCAAAGATGACCCATTTTCACTTCCTGTCCCCACAAGAGATATTTAGCTAAACCAGTCTCTTTGGGTGACTTCATGAGCCCAAATGGAGAGGAAGCAATCCACCAAGCTTAATACACAATTATTCCAAATACCTTTTAATGTCCTGTCTTTATTTTGCCTTTTAATTATTTTATGACTTAATATTTATTAGATCCTTGTAAATTATTCATATTTTTGTAAAACAGCCTTAGGACTGCCTATCAGAAGACAGAGAATTAAAAAAAAATCAATACAAAGAGAAGTAAAATAAGTTAACATTTCTCTAAAATTCCCTATTTATGACTCAGCATTTCTTGGGCAACTAAGAATTCATTTCTGCTATAACTCACTAACCTAATTTTAAAAACTATAAGTAAATAAAATGCCAAGCAATACTCTATCTTTTTCAGGAAAGAAAGGAGGTGACAGAGGCTGGGGTGGAGAGAGAAAGTAGGGTAGAAGATAGAGATGGCAGCTGACTTTAAGAAGTTTGTGTCGGGGCTGGGGATTTAGCTCAGCGGCATAAGCACCTGCCTTGCAAGCAGGCGGTCGTGAGTTCGATCCCTGGTACCGATAAAAAGGAAAAAGACAAAAAAAAGGAGTTTGTGTCAACAGCATACAATGTGTACAACTTTGATTAATAAGTACAAAATTATAAACATGTTTCTGATACGTTTTATGCAACAAAATGAGATTACAATAAGAAAAAGATTGGCAGAAACCAAAAAAGAGACACAGTAGAAGGGTCAGTCATGAAGCGGTGAAGGCTGAGGGACCGAGGCAGGGCCTTCTGCTCCCCGGTCACCATTCTGTGCCAACCCTCACTTGTCCTGCGTCCTTGAAGCTCCACTTCGTGCTTATTTCCTTGGTAGCCAAAATTCCAGATTTTATGGTGGGATTTAAGTGATGTAAAATGAGAATCATCCCTTCCAATGTTTTGATCTTTCATTAATGTTTTATGGCTTACAGAGAGTGGAAAGGCTCCTTCTTTTTCCATTTGCTAAGCCATTCTCCTTTTGCTGCATCTTCCCTCTCAAAATGCCAATAATCTTCTTTCCTTTTACAGAGTGAACTAAAGCAAAACAGGCCCCTTTCCACCTACCACTTGCATTCTTTAAAAGTAATAAAAAATACAGAAGCCAACGAAGGTGGAGTCTAACAAATGCATCCAAGAAACAAGAGTAACATTTGTGGGGGGCTACTGGGAATTGAACTCACAACCTCACATTTGCCAGGCAGCTGCTTACACTGTTCAGCTAAATCCCCAGCACAACAATAACATGTTAGTTTACATATTTCTGCATATTATAATTGCTTTCTCACATTTTTCAGTTCTGCAGGTAGAAATGCTTGACAGTGGCATACCCCTCATGCTCATATACTAAATCTTATAGTTAGCTTATTGGGTAAACTGGCCGACACTTAAAGTAATATGCATGTTTAGTCATGAATAATGTTAGTTAGCCAGAAAGTTATTTAACCTATGTGAAACTTCCTGGCAAATTAATTTCTATCCTATTTTATTGTTGGACATTAAATATTTGGCCTGTCATAATTTTAACATGAAAGGCCTTTTCTAGTTTGTTGTGCTTACATCATCAAATCAAAATGTCTTTAACAAGCCAAAGACATAATTTTAGTTCTTTCAAGACTCCAACAATAAACCCCTAACAAATAAAACGTAACTTAACCTGAGTGTTGACTATATAGTTGGCAAAACAATTTTGCAAAAGGATGTAACAGAAACCAGGCCATTCTGTCAGGGTATGGGAAATTTTGAAGTGCTTTAAGAGAATTATTTATTTTCCTGTGAAAGTAAGAATGATTCTTAATTTTCTTGTTTCCAATGCTTCCTAGTAACCGAAGGATGCATATACAATATCACAGGAAGTTGAGTGGAAATTTGACAAGATACAGTTATACAATTTGCAGTGGTGACTGCTATTTGGAAAGCTGCTGCTACATGTGATTCTGCTCCCGAAAGTGTCACGAGCTTAGATTGTGGATGACCCAGCACTACTTGAAAAATGTTACCTGTCTTTAATAATAGTTCCAGATTCCTGTAGCCCCGGGTACATTTCCCATTCTATTTTAATTACACATCCGTGCTTCAGAGGAACCCTTCTTTCCAGAACTGTTGCACGTTTCTAATTGCTGAGATACCACAGTGCCATTGCTGGTAACCCATTCATACATCTCAAAAAATATTTTACCAAATGCCTACAGAGTATATGAGAAGATAAATTAGAAAATTTTTTAGATTTACTATTAAAACTAAAGCCATAATGAATATTTCAAAATCTGGTGAAGCTACCCTGTGTGATACCATTGTGGTGGACACATGTCATTATACATTTGTCCAAATCCAAAGAACTACAACTGTAACAGTGAGCCCTAAAACAAAATCTGGAGTTGGAGTGACACCAGTGTGTTAGCGTAAGTTCATCAGCTGTGACAGATGTAGCCTCAGTGGGGCATATTTACAAGGTAGGTGCTGTAGCGGCCCTATTTTCTCTTTGCTCCCTCCATTCCCCTTACCGTCTCAGCGTAGTCAATCCTTCACTGTCCTCAGAATTTAATTTCACTGCTGCATCACTCCTGAAAGCTTCTTTATCCCAGCTCAAGTCTGATTCTCCTAAAACAAAATAGAACCCCGTTTTGAGACATGTAACTGTTTGACCCTTTGCCATTGTTAGATGCGATGGATTGGATTAACCACTCTGTACTTCACCTTTTTTTCTTATCAAGGCTTCTCAGCCATGGAATTATTGAGATTTGGGTTCAAATAAATCTTTGTTGTGGGGAACTGTCCTATGTATCATAGGATGTTTAGCAATGTCCCTGACCTCTATCCACTGGGTACCCATGACACCGTCACCCAGGTGTGACAACCAACGATGTATCTAGACATTGCCACCTGTCTCCAGGGACAGAGAGTAAAGTCATCCTCAGTGAAGAAATACTCCTCAGAGCTAGAAAACTGAAAACTACATTTGTTACACTCTCTTATAGACAGGATGCTGGCCAGGAGATATGTACTGAGAAGCAGGTGAACTTGCACTAGATAGGCAACGCTAAGGTAGAGAGCACTTTTTATTTTGGGGTGTTTTCAAATGGCAAAAGGATTATAGAGATATAAAATACCTCTGTATCAGTATTTGAGGTCTATTTTCTGGAGTGCTGGGTGACAGTTGTGTGTCCATGGAAGAGGAATGGGTGGATGAGACACAACTGGTCTCAGCGTCCAGCCCCCGTTCTCTAGTGTGATGAGTGTCACAGGTACTTTCCATGACAGTGCAGTGCTGGTAACTTCCTGATTCCTGAACGGCAGCTCTCACGTGAGTTCTTGAACTCAGCCAATCTGGTGGTAGATTCAGAAATGCTAGTTCCTCTGGTGGTCAGCTCTCACTTGCTCCCTGTGGCAGTCCATCGGGACAGGGCTCTCTGAGACTCTCCCGAGGGCACCTGAGATAAGGCTTAGCATTCAGCAGACTCTCAGCAAATATTAATTAAAGGAATGAACAGTTGAACATGTTCTTATTTGTGTTTTAGATTTCTTGTTTAAAAGACAAAAAAGGATGAAATGAATATAAATTTTTTAAGACAATTAGCAACTTTGTCCCAAAGGAAAGGAGAGCACTTCTAAATGAATGCAAGGCTGCAGAGGGTGGTATCGACTTGTAATCTCACCACTTTGAGAAGCTGATGCAGGAGGATCATGAATTTGAGCCCAGGCTAGACAACCGAGCAAGATCTTATCTCAAAATAAAAAGTAAAAATCAAAGCAAAACAAAGAACAACTACAGACAAATAAACAAAAAAGCATGCTGGGGATGTAGCCCAAGGAGGGTCTGGCTCTAATCCCCAGGACAGAAAGAAAAAAGTGTTATTGTCATTGCTCAAATATAAACACTGACACTTTTCTGCAAAAGTTCTTCAGTTTTCCTCGTGCTAGCCACAAGCAGGTGTAGAAAAGAGAGACTGTCACACTGAATGTGCCCGATTTTGTCTGTTCTCCAAAGTTAAGCAGGGTTGGATCTGGTGAGTACTTAGATGGGAGAAAAGAGAGGCTGTACTGTTTGTTTCGGCAGAGTAAATGAAGAAGTATAACAATAAAAGTTTGCATGTCATGCACCACATAGCAATGTTTCAGTCAGTGAGGGATTACGTGCATGGCGGTGGGCTCACAAGAAATCCCTGTGGCTTGGTGACATTAGTGTCATAGCTCACTGCATCACTTGTGATGCCATTATAGACAAACCTACTCCACTGCCAGCTGTAAGAAGGTACAGCACATGCAATTGTGTATGTAGTAGATAATACTTGATTGTACTAAGGAGGGCACCTTCATACATTTTGTGTTCACTTTGTCTCATGATTGCATTATTTTTCTTGTGCTTGATTATGTTTTATTCATCACAATTCCTAAGCAAAAAATCTACTTCTTCATGTTGGGATCAAAAAGCCTTGCTGAGTGACTGACCTGCCAAAAAAAATTAAAAAATGATGAAAGGTTACAGGATGGAAATTCAGGGCTGGTTGTTGCTGCTGAGTCAGGAATGACCTGCTCTACAGCTGCCATCTTGAACATAGACAAAGGGTGGGAGCTGTTAAACAGTCTTCTTTGCTGAAGGCAACAAGACTAACGAACACTGGAGAAGAGCCTATGTTATGGATTAAGAACTGGTGGTCAACTTAATGCCAGCTGGATTACATCAGCATGGCACTGAGTGAAGATGCTCCACCTGAGGAAAGTTGCCAGAATTAAATAGGTGGAGAAGAAGGGAGATGTTGAGGGGTTGAGGTGCTAAGGAGACATTGTGGGTTCTCCTACAAGTTGCTGTCTGAGCTGTTGGTTCTCCTGGAGAAGCCTTGGTCCTCACATCGAGCATTGCTTCCTGGCTCCGGAAAACATGTGCTGCTTGGTCTCCAGGATGAACTCATCACACTGTTTCCTGGCACGACATGTGCTTGTCATCAGAGGAGCTCGGGGCCTCCATGTCGCTGAGGACAGCTGTGGTGCCTTTCAGGACAACCCCGCTCTTTGTTGTGAGTGTGACTTCTCAGCTCCAGCGTAGAACCCTCATCCCACCAGCACAGCTCCTTCTTCCTGCTAGCATAGACTTTCTGGCTTCCACCGCTGACCCTTGAGTCTTCCCAGCACAGATCCGTAAAAGAGACTGGCATGAGTCCTTCTTGTGGGCTCTGGACTTCCAGTTGGACTCGTGGGAGGCATTGTCCTGAGCTCTGAGTTTTTATCTGGACTCACGTGTGACATTGCCGTGGGATTTAGGCTCTTGACTAAATAATCTATGTGTTCGATGTTGCAGATAGATTTCTTGCATTTCCTGTGTTAACTTCTGGTGGACCATTATAAAAATATTATAAACCCATGTCCTGATCCTAGTTGTTCTCTGTGTACAACCCCTGATGGCAACAGCCTACATCAGATGCAGAGAAGTCTAAATATGGCTTTAAGACCTGATACCAACCTGTGTCCCTCATCACCATGATAATCACAGTCAAAGTGCAAAGTTTGTTTGTGCTATTGGAAAAAAAAATGGTTGGACCCAACAATGATGTTGAACTCACTGTGTCTCCAGATGATTTAAGTGATTCAAGAATTGTTACTCGTTACACAGTGTGAAAGTAGGTGGTGAGTCTCTGAGCGCTGATGGGAAGGCGCCATAGGAAACTGTTCTGATGGTGAAGGAAAATCACTGGGCAGCCCAAATCTTGCTCTGGAAATTGATGCCTGAAAGGACGTTAGTACATAAAGAGATCAAGTCAATGCCCATTTTCAGGACAGAAGAGCAACGTTGTCATGCTTAGGGTCAATATTTTAGACAAAAGGTCAAAAACCTTTTGTGACCTGGCACCCCAAAGACTCTGCCTTCCCACCATGTCTGTGAGCACACAGTGCCAATGAGAAGCCATGGATGACCCAGCTTCTCTTCCTCAATGCCCTCCTGAGTTGTACGCCAGACAGTGGATGTAGTGTTTGGAGAACAGCATGCCTTCCAGAATTCTGCTTTGTCAGTTTTTGTAAGTACACTGTTTGATGTTTGCATATTGATGAAATTCCCGAAGGATACATTTCTCAGAACTTATTCCATCATTAAGCAAGACCTGACTACGTTTAAATAGGAGCTTTAAATACGTGCCAGGCACTGTTCTAAGCACTTTGTCTATATCAACTCCTCATAGCAACTCTGTGAAGTAGAGTTGGAAAGGAACAAACAGTTCCATTTTACAGATGAGTAAACTGAGGCATGGAGTGCTTAAGTCAGGTCTAGTCAATAGCAGAACCCTGCTTGTCACTTAGGAAGTCTGGCCCCAGATAAATTATGCTGCCTTTTCTAATACTGTACTTGTGTCAAAAGATCACGGGACCCACGATGGATGGAACAGATGGGCAATTTTGCTTTTCCTTTAAAGTTTGCTATTAGTTCAGAAGAGCGCTTACAAATTGTCAGTGATATGATCTTGAAACAAGGTGCCAGGTTAGGAAGTTTGTGCTTAGGGCTGTGACATGTTCAAGCTTCACACCTGCAGTTTCTCCCCAGTGTCTGGGCATCTATGTGACTCTCTGTGACCAACCATATTCATCTGCCAAGTCTTCACAACCACTCTGGTTCAACCAGTGCCAGTATCCTGCTCAGCAATGCAAAGGTGACACCATCCAGGGCACTTGGCTACACCGGGTCCTTAGCACCTTAGGTAGGCACCTTCATCCCCTCAGCCCCTGCAACATCTGTCTCACGGACTTATTTTGTTCTTTTCATATTGCTTTGGGCTCATAAGACACTTCAAGCAAGACCTGATTCTGCCTCTACATCAAGGCAGGTTCATTTGATAAGGCTTCTTTTAAAAGGTCAGTCCTGTTATTAGTAGAGAACCGCAGTAACCAAGGGACAACACAGTCGGAGCGTCAATGGCCTGCTCAGAAAAGCCCGGGGGATCCAGTAACAGGAGAGTGCAGGGAAACACTTCTCACGAACCACTGGGCCACAGACCTGAGCCAGTAATCTATAATCACGCGCGCAACACAGGCTATCGTCACGGATTTTTTTTAAATTCGTCCTCCTGGAATACCGAGCTGGGAAAAATATTTAGAGCCTGAGCTGAGATCTTGCTAGTGAAGGAGAGATTTCAGGTGAGCAGTAAATGTGCAGAGCGGAGGCAGTGACCTTTCTTATTTGCAGTGTTTTTATTCTGCAGCTTGCACTGCAGGGACCCTGACTTCAGAGGTTCTGATGGCCTGAGGCTGTGTTGGAGAGGAAATAAATGAGCCTGCCCTACTTCCAGAGTCTCTAGTAATCTACGTGCGGCTCCGGAACCTGGGCCCTGCGCGATGTGCGTAGACCAGCGACCTCAAGTGGTTGCAAGAGGGCGTTGCAATGACGGTTTTAAAGCCTCCAAGAAAGCAGAGGGTATCTGAATCAGAGCACACAGCGTCTGTATCTCAGCCTTATCTGACATTAGGGAGGATTTAAAGGAAATATCAGCAAGCAAACTTAAGGATCTTATCCCTCAGCCTGGGGAAGCCAAAAGAACAAACAGTTTCTCCATTGTCTTGATGCACTGAAGTTTTTGAGAAGAAAGACAGATCCAGGAAGCTGAACTTAGCAGGGCAGTTGGACTTCAGAGGTATTGGGAGAACAGTACAAAGCAGTCAGGAAGCAGCAAACCAAACAAAAATAAAACCCAAAATACTTGATGGTATAAGCAAAGCTTTTAAATGAAGACTACTCACGCGTTTGGGCCATCCTGATGTGCCTGAAAACTAAGCCATGCACTGGGGATGCCAGGAAAAGAAGATTCAGGTTTCTTGAGCTCTTTGGAAGCACCTGCCTTAGATTGCCACGGTGGGAAACACGTCTGCTCCAGCGCGAGCAGCTCATCCTGCCCTAGCATATCCAGGCAAGATGAGGAGGGGTTACGTACGCCAGTGCTGCCAGGGTCAAATGCTTAATAGAAATGAGTAGCCTGGAAGAAGGATCCTGGTATTTCAGAGGTGTCAACATGAACTTCCTGTTTTTAAATAACATTTAAGGAAACTAGAGTCACAAGTGCATTTAGAAGTAGGGAAGGCCATGACTAAAGAGTGGGGCTTGGATTTCCTGACAATAGGCTCAGCTCTGGACAGTTGCACTCAAGAATACAGAATTGTTTGGCAAATATTCCAAGTAATCCACAGAAACACATTTTCTAAAATTTTATGTGACATTTTCCATTTGTTGGGTCAACTTTTTAATCCAATTTTCTCAAAAAAAAATAAGCTGTAAAATACTGAACTAAGTGGACTTTTTTTTGCAATTCTTATGGTTTGGGGAAAGTTATAAGGCTTTTATGGCTGTTTCTTTTTTCTATCTTTTTTGTGAGAATAAGGGAGTGTGTGTGTGTGTGTGTGTGTGTGTGTGTGTTTGCTCTGATGGGTGCTTTGAAATAAGCATGGGCTGAAGCCCAGCAGCCTTTTGTTCCTTTTGTCTTAGTAAGGTGGGCGTCACCTTTCTGAGTCTGTTTCCTCATCTGTAAAATTTGTGATCTAATTTGAGGGGTTTTTTTTAGCTCAGATTTTGTGATTTCCAAGGCACCAACTAGATCTGAAATTCTATGATTCTTATTTTCAGCCAGAAGAGAATGCCTCGTGTAGCTGACCTCACCGTGCCTGATGCCCAGATGAAATTTCATTTCATGTGCTGGCCTTGTGTGATCCTTTGACAGCAGCAATGCGGTGCAGTAATGTCACTGTCAACCTTGGCTATACCTTGGAATGAGCTGGAGCATTTTCCAAACACACTCAGTGCTGATTCAGCCAGACACACAGAAGTGGACTCGGCAGGGCAGGGGTGTTTTGAACTATCCCCGGTTGATTTTAACATGCACAAGACTAGTAACTGCTGGTGTATACAAGGGCAAGCTTTTGACCAACCTGGAACCTAAAACCCCTGGGCAGGGGCAAATCACCTTGGAATCTGAGGCACAAGGTGGTCCCTTATGTATACTCATCAAAATATAGCATTTCTAATTTGAACAAAGCTTTCAATGTTAATAAAATTACCACAATAAAAAATCATGACTATATAAAAAGGTTGTATCTCTCAATCTGGTCACATGCTCTGGTCAACCTTCACCAGGCTGGCCAAGGACTCGACGGGCCTGAGATTGCAGGAAACATGGGCTGATCAGACAGCCTGTTTCCCATCACACAACACTGCAGGGTCATCAACTCATCAGCCTGTCTTTATTTAAAACTCTGATCATTTTCTGATCATGGATATTCTTGTACTTGTTGATAGTTTTCAAATATGATTTCAAATCTTATTCATCTTGATTGCTCAATTTTCAGTTGTCTACTTCAAATTTGTACCCAAGGTAAATGTCTCTCTTTCCCACCTGAATCCTGGCCCGGACCCTGGGTTCTAAGGCTACCTCTGCTTGTGTAAGTTACTTTACCAGCTTGAGCCTCCACTTACTCCCATGTAGAATATGATTAATGCCAGTTCTTCCTTTCTAGAACTATGGCAATTAGATGAAGTAATGGAACAAAGTGCCTAACACAGAGCAGAAGCTCTCTAATACGTGCTATTATGGGTTGGCTAATATTCTGTGCAAAGATGGTGTAACATCGTGGTTTTTATTTGCGTGTTCCAAGAAAGCTGATTCACCTGGACTTTGCCAGTTCTCAGGAGGCAATTTAATGTAACTTTCTCCAGCCAGTAAATTTATAGAGAGATGCTCAAGTGCTTTCACAGAACCCAGGAATCCAAGAACAACCAGATACTATTTACAGCCAAACAATGACTGTATTGATTGCCAATAGGCATCATCATATTTAATTTACTTCTTATATGTGCTATACAAGTTTAAGTCTAATCAATTTAGAGATTCATAGATTTAAAATGTTCGAGGACTTTGCATGTAGATCATGTTTTCAAGGTTTAATGTTAGTAAGACTCAGCTGGAGAAGTCTTATTAAAAACATAAATTCTGACTCTTCTGACTCAGGAGATGTAGAGCAGGGTTTCAGATTGTGTGTTTAGAATAAGCTTTCAAAGCAGGACTGGCTATATAATTTGTGAAGTCCAGTGCAGAACGAAACTACAGGACCAGTTGCTCAAAAATTAATGGTTTAAAGTAGTAAGCCAACTGAGGTGACCTCAGCATAGGGCCCTATGCTCCCCCGTGAGAGCGTGAGGGACAGAGCTGCTGTCCCTGATCGTAGGTGGCATCTGCGCTGCTGGTCCCTGGTCAGACTTGGAATAATGAAGGCAAAATCAGCATCATCCCGTAGGACTTTTTGTGATAATGAAAGTTTTGGATATCTGTGTTGTCTGATACAGTAGCCACTTAGCCTCATGGGGCTGTTGTGGTTAAAATGTGGTTAGCATGATTAAAACCAGAGTTTTGTTGGATTATAATTAAATGTAAATGGCCTCGTGTATCTGGTGGCTGCCCTACTGGATGGCACACTTTGGATGTCAGCTTTCTCCCACAGGGCAGTTCCCTACTGCAAAAACTCTGCAGTTCGTAGCCAATGAGAATCAGACCAGATCGTCTTCTTTATGCTTTAGTAATTCTACTAAAAAAAAAAAAAAAAAAAATCTGACAGGTAATGCTATTCTGAATAGTCTCTGGAAAAGTACTAGCCCAACTTGGGAAATAGTTTCTTGTGTTAAAAATTCTTTTTCATTTACTGTAGAAATATTGGCAATTCATATGTTAAAAGTTTCTTGTCT